CATATAGTTACATCTGTCATCATATAGCAAATATTCTGGTAATATTGATTATATGAAAGAGTTACTTTACCTACCATTTTATATTTGTATCCGCACAATAATTTTAATTTAACTTACTATAATTCTTAAAGTAAAAATATTATATGGTTAGTTATACTATGCCTATGTCGTAATTATTACCGATATTATGGTAATACTTACTATAAATATGATATTTCGGACTATAATTTAGTTACTATATCATTATAGTTCCAAATATCATATACTTTTCTCTCAGTGCGGGATATGTTGATTCGAATGTCGGTTTCTCTTGCTCAGTCATGCTCCACCTGCAGACACGAACGAAAAAATAATCATATGCTCATGGATCAGAATATTTGAGACGCTTTTTAAAACAGATATGTGTGTTACTGTAACGTACAACGAATTTAATTTACCCATATTTGGTCAAATACAATTTGTAATCTATTGCAAGAAATTGAATAATACATTCTTTCTTTTAACTATGTTTCATACAATTGATATGTTATGATGAATATCTTTGCAGCTATGAAGTCTATAACAAAACTGATTGGGAATTTGTTTGTTACGATGATCTTCTTTCATTCGCGCCTACTCGTTAGTAGAACTCATTAGTAGTACTCATTAGTAGAACTGGAGTCAGAGGTATATTTATATATATATATATATATATTACTTTCCGCTATGCGTTATAATTTTTTCAAATGAACCAGTATAACCAGTAAGGAATAAAATACAGTACGAATAAATAATGATACTCTTAAAAAAAAAGATGAAATGATCTGTGTACAAGAGGAAAGTTATATTAAAATCAATAAAATTTGCATTATACATATAACATATAATATAACCTTAAGAATATAATGTATTTGTAATATTTTCCTCTTAATCTTAGAGGAATCCTCTTGAGGCCATATATAAGAATAAAATCCTCTAAAGATCCCTTAGGTGATTCCGCTTATTCTGAAATTACTTTTTTTTGGATGTGGATATAGTGTGCGTATCCTCCTCTGCCGAAAAATTTATACTGAGGTCTCAAGTGAAGTCTTTGAAAAATGAGAAATTTCCGTATGAGATCTCGCTCGAAAGAAAAGGGTAATGCCGTTTTGATCAAGAAAAATAGAAATGCTTTTTTATTTTTCATACGACATCTCAGTGGAGACATCTTACACCCAAAAAAAATATTCTATTTGTAAAGTGATTTTTCCTATAATCTCATATTCTAAGCGAAGCCTTTCGCAGAAAAAAGATTCCTCTTTCGATAAAGCGATTAAAGTGAACCATTCATCTAAAATTTATTAGATATTATTCCAACTATTTTCCTCTTATTTCAGGAGGATTTCCTCTTGTATCAATTAATTTTCTTCTTATGTGAAAAATACAGTCTATGATCTACTCGTATTACTTTTCGCTATACATTATCATAATTTTTACAAATTAACTGATATAACCAGTAAGAAACAAAGTACAACAAGAATAAATAATAACCCTTAAAAAAAAAGAAATTAAATAATCTGTGTATAAGAGGAAATTTCTATTAAAATCAATAAGATTTGCATTATACATATAACATTTGATCTTCCTAACTTTAAGAATAATATGTTTATAATATTTTCCTCTTAATCCTGGAGGAACTCTCTTGAGGCCACATATAAGAATAAAATCCTCTAAAATTGAGATGATTCCGCTTGTTCTGAAATTACGTTTTTTTTCTTTTGGTATACGAGACGATTGAGATCTCACATTTTTCGAAAGTCTCACTTTAGATCGCAATGGAAATTTTTCAGTAGGACGTTCGCTCTCTCGGCGATTGCGGTGACATTTGCGCGGATTTCTTCAGCGCGCTCGGCCGAATGCCGGAATTAGAAAGGCGTACCTGCCATGCGAGCGAGTTCCAGAATAAGACTCCGGCTTTCTCCGTCGAGTGTTCTCGCAACTTCGGTAATATCGGCATCGGGACTCGCGCACTCCTACTTCGCGTTCTCCTTGACACTCGTTGACACAATCTCACGGAAATAATCGAGCAGGAAGGAGCGCCCGTTTCCACTCGTCAATCGCGCAGTAGCCAGCCGGCGAAACGTCATTGTCGAGAATAATGGATTCGAGTCCATTAGAGAGCCTGTATTTTCACGTGTGTGTGACTAGTTGCTGCCGTTGCGAAATAACTTATTCAGAGCACCCGCTGTAGCCGATCGGGCAATTAGGGTACGCCCGTCCTCGCCGAAATTAGCCGCGCTTCGCCCGGATCGATCGTTCGTTCATTCGTTCGTTCGTTCGTTCGTTCGTTCGTTCGTTCGTTCGAGCGTAGGCGGACGTAATTTGGACGCTCGCGCAGCGAAATAATCATAATCCCGGCTTGACATCACGCTTGCTCGCGCGACATTCACGGAGTTAACTCGCGTAACAGAGTCGTGACGGGAGGAGGGGGGGGGGCGCGCGTCATCCACGTCGAATTGAATTTTCCGCGGTGCACGCGCGTGCACGCACGAGCCACGGGATGCGTTACGCATCGCGGCCTCGAGTTGTGTATACAACCCGAGGAGAGAAGGAGGGGGGGGGAGCGAGCAGCGGGATAACACGCGGGCGGGTCAACAGCCTTCGACAACCTTACGGCCTTCTGCGACCTCTCTTTCCCCCGTTGCCGTCTCGCTTTTCCGATTCTCTCGCGGTCGGTCGCGCGTCGGCCGTACCCGATTCACGGTCGTTGCCGTCAAATTGAGGACTCGCCGCGCCGAACGATACAGGCGTGAACGAGTGAAACTCGTCGGAAAGAGACGTCACTTTCAGCTCGGCCCCGTCCCCGTCGCTTCGCCGTCCTCATCTCCGCGCTCGAGTGAACCTTTTTGACGCTTCATCGCCAAAAATAAGTAATCTCGGAATCAGCGGAATCATCGAAATTTTAGAGGATTTTACTCTTATATATGGCCTCTAAGATTGAGAGGAAAATATTATAAAGACGTTATTCTTAAAGTTCGAGGAATTATATGTTATATGTATAATGCAAATCTGATTGATTTTAATGTGTAAATTTCCTCCTGTGCACAGATGATTTTATCTTTTCTTTTAGGAGGATTATTATTTATTCGTACTGTATTTTATTCTCACTGGTTATACACTGATAGGAAAATATAGTTGAATTAATATATAATCTCACTATATTTTATAGTTCATTTTGGCGTCAACCATATTTTCATAGTTCGTGGAACCTGCAAAATAGGATAAACAAATAGTAGAATAAACACAAATATATAATCAATGATTGTTTTAGATAATTGTTCAGTTACTTTTACCACATATATGGTAATTTCTCATTCACAAATACAGTGAGATTTAATATTCATATAGTTACATCTGTCATCATTTAGGAAATATTCAGGTAATATTGACTGTATAAAAGAGTTACTTCACCTATCATTTTATATTTGTATAAATAATTTGCATAAAATAATTTTAGTTTAACTTACTATAATTCTTGGTAAAAATATATGGTTGGTTATGCTATGGCTGTATCGTAATTGTTACCGATATTATGGTAATACTTACTATAAATATGATATTTCGGACTATAATTTAGTTACTATATCATTATAGTTCCAAATATCATATACTTTTCTCTCAGTGTACAAAGATGTTCATCATAATCAATTGTATGAAACACAGTTAAAAGAAAGAATATATCTGGTTGAAGCATGAACAAAAGAAGCCGACATTCATATTCCTCTTCATATAAGAGGAAAATTCATTGATATGAGAGGAAACCCTCTTGAAGTAAGAGGAGAAAACAGAACAATATGTAATAAATTTGAGAGAAATGGTTCGCTTCGATCGCTTCATCGAAAGAGCAATCCTTTCTCACTGAAAGACTTCGCTTAGAATATGAGGCTACACTCTTTTTTTCGGTGTTCACTTTGGGGCTCAAACGAATTTGGCGTTCAAACTTCCGGTCTCGTAAAAATTACGTTCATTCTCTCAACGTTTGGGCGAATTCAACGTTGAGGAAGCCTCAAAGTGTGACGGATTAAAAGTTGGGATCAAACTTGAGTGAAGCTTGGATTTATACTCGAGTCCAACTTCAATTCAAGCTTGAGCCTCCCGAGTCGCGACGGATCTGACGCGCTTAGACTCTCAAAGTCTAAGCGAGTTTAACGTTTAGGCTCCAAGTGTGAGCGAACACAAGCTTCGGTCAGACTCGAGTCTGACTTGAGCAGAACACAGAAATTTGAGGCCCCGGCCTGTGCGAAGGGGAACGGTTCCTCGACGTCTCACGCTGCGTGCTCAGCCCCGCCGCTGTTTCCCGTGCGGGGAAACTCGATTTCGGCTCAGGCAATCCCATTTTCAGCGGGGGTTGGTCCCCCCCTCTACCTCCCCGCCCCCGCTCGCAGGAGATATCGTCGAAAATCGGTCGAACCATTGCGCTTTTACGGCTCATTTCAGGAGCGCTCTCTCGACGATGGGGAACATCTGTCGACGGCGCTACGCTCACAATATTGGCCGTATAAACGTTAATGCCGACCTAACGGTGGGGGGGGGGGAGGCGAGGAAGAAGAAGAGAGACGCAGCTCGCCACGGCACCGTTTCACCGCAGCGTGAAACACGCAAACACGCACTCGTATCGCCGTTCGATTCGAGGCGCTGCGAAATTGCGGGGGCCTCGCATGATGAATCATGGCCCGGGGGAGGAGGGGGGAGGAGCGAGAGGGTAGGGCCACCCTCCTTGGCCGTCGATGCGCGATAAACGATACTGCGAAGAAGCCAAGAGGGAAGACTGTTGACTCTCGGGACTAAACGCTGTCCCCCTCCCTCCTCCTCCTCCCCCCGCGGCGAAAAGGTCGTCCGTGTATCGAGCTGGGGATGCGAATAGAAAGAAATACATACATATATACATACATAATATATACATATATGTGTACAGTCGACAAATATTTTTCGTGTGCGATGGAATTTTTAATGGACCGCTCGTCGTTCTCTTGCTGTTGCAGCTTCGGGAAGCGGACGGGTGGCAGCGCCAGGAGACCCAACGAGTGCTTCGTCCTCGAGCCCTCCGAGATGATTGTCGTGAGTAGATTTTTCAGCAATTGTTGACTCGAGAGAGCAACCTGCAGACGAGTCAGACTCGTCGCGTTCGCGTCGTCTCGTTATCCTACGAGCGGGCTGCGGTAAATTGCGAGGATCGTTGTTCGCGGTGAGGCGATTTTTTCGCGGCGAGGCACGCGCGAGAAATTGGGAGAGACGCGGTGAGGTCTCTACCGTTGGGTTCTCTGTATTAATTGAGAGGGAGAAATGTCGCGGTGGATTTGACATTTGCGCAAATTTACGAACCTCTTTCTCTCTCGTCGAGGGCTGCGCGTATTTTCCGCCGTGCGCGCATAAATTGCAAACATTCCGCGCCGAAAGGATAGCGAGCGTACTCGCGATCGAGAGCGAGTTTCACGAGGCGAAAGCGAGAGAGTTATAAAGCACGAAGCTGCGGTATAGCCGAGTAAATTAATAGGGCTCTGGTAAGAGCCTGATTATTTTTCCACAAGATTAATTGAGCCCTAGTGAGGAATAGAAAGACAAGGGCCCTCTAACGTAACGAAAATGGCTGAACGAGTCCTTATAAGGCAGTGTTATGAGGACCCTACAAGGAAATATTTTTATTATTCGTTTTCTTCGTTCCAAGAAATTTAGACTGTAATCTCCTTATTTTTTTATAACCTTGTTAGTATACAACAAAAATTTTTTATTTTAAAAATATAATACATACTTTACAATAACATATTTTAGCATTTTTCGCACATAAATATTCTGCTACTGTTTTTATTAAAGCTTTGCTGCACTTCAAAACGAAGGCGATACTAGAAAAATTCTTGAAAGATACCAATGAATATGGCAACTAATAAAACTAATAAGATTAATTTTTAATCGCGGTATAATTAAAAAAATATTTAAAGGAAGCAGATAGAGCGTACCTACTAGAGCGATACTAAACCGCAATGACAATTTTATTACGCGCCTCAGATCTTATTAATTTTCTACAACAAAACTTGATTTTGCACATCTAAAGTATCCTTAAAAGATCCTTCTAAGGCCCACATCAGTTTTCCATGTTAAAGCGTTCTTTCGTAAAATCTAAGGCGTCCCTAAAAAATTCGTCTAAGGCCCCTATCAGTTTTCCTTCTGTCAAAGCATTATTTATTAAATCTAAGGCGTCCCTAAAAAAAATCCTTCTAAAGCCCTTCTCAGCTTTTACCATCAAAACCTTATCTCTCTAAGGCATCCGTAAGCAATCTTTCTAAAGCCTTTTTTAGCTTTCCCTATCAAAGTCTTATTCATTAGATCTAAGGTATCTTTAAAAAAATCCTTTCAAAAATCCTTCTCAACCCTTCCCTATCAAGGCCTTATTTATTAAATTTAAGACACCGCTAAAAAATCCTTCCAAGGCCCTCATCAGTTTTCCTTATCAAACGCACGCCCGAGATCCGCACTCCGCCGTCTCGAGCCGAAAGAGAGAGAGAGAGAGAGAGAGAGAGAGAGAGATGGAGGGAGGGGGAAAGAGAAGGGGAGGGAAAGTTCAGGCGCCGCGGAATGCCTTGCGTGTTATCCGGTTTCATTAAAAAGCGAACGCGGCCGGCGCGTTTTTTGGCTCCGGCCGCAGCGGCTGCGATCAAAGTCGCAACCGGGCGGACAGGTGTGATATTTTTCCGTCCGGCTCGCGGAATGATAAAGGGGGCGGAGAGCGAGGGGGAGAGAAACTCGCATGGCGAGTGTTCGCGCGACATTCCTCGCTCTCGCGAACCGAATGCGCCGGTGAGCGGCGATATCGCGCGGAAAGACAATGCCGCTCGCCTAGGAGACGCAACGCGCCAGACAGTTAATCAATAGTTTCTCTCTCTCTCTCTCTCCCTCGCTCGCTCGCATTATGCTCAGGCTGAGTTTTGGAATCTCCCTGCTCGCTCCCTCGCCGTCGCGTTCTCCGAGCAGCTTGCTCGCTTCACTTGGCGTCCTCGGGCATTCGCGTACCGCCGTCGCCGTGCGGTCGATTCCTCCGCGTGGGATCCTGAATTGGGGCAAACTTTCAGATCCCGCCGGGATCTAATGCTCGCGAAGCTGTCGGTAAAAAATGCAGCAGCGCGGGATGCGGGAAGGAAGCGTGTAAAAAGCGCCGTGTTCTTCCTCGCGGAATTATCCTCGCGCGTGCGAGGAACGTCACGTCGCGGCTCGTCCTCGTCGTCCTTCCGCGAGTGCGTGCGTGATTAAAATATCGCGCGTGCGATCGAAGTTACGTGGGACGCCACCGTTTTGCCTCTCGCTCGGCTCTAGGTATGAAGAAATTGCAGGTTTTTCTTGCCTTTGTCGCGGAGACTTCGTTTCGTGCAACTTTGACGTCACAAGGCGTGTCTGCGCGAATTTCTTTTGCGCGCGTCCCGATGTGTGCGCGCCGCTTTTTTCACGCAGCATGGTCGATCAAGGTTCGGGCTGAATGGTAATTTCGTTTGTTCCACTTGCGTGCGGCGCGGCGTTCGCCCGACGAATCGGCTCTCTCTTTCTTTCTCTCTCCTCTTTCTCTCGCAATTAGAAAAAAGAGAGGAATGCAGCGGCGAGGCGCGATGGAGGAATATTTCAGATCGCTTTGCGCGGTAGCATTTTTGTTGTGCGCCCGCTCGCTCTCTCTCTCTCTCTCTCTCCCTCCCTCTTGAAAATGCGAGACACGACTTTCTCGTCGCGTATCCAGGCTTAATTACATTTGCAGTCGCCGCATTAATTACGCAGTCGCACGGGATGCGCGGATATTTCAGGCGAACTTTAATTCGTGCGTATGATATCGCCGGGGAATTCTGGCCGCGCGTCGCTAATTGCACGGCTTGTAGACGGGAAATTAAGTCCTCCTGACGCGAGCTGCCATCTGTGGCGACGCCCCGCGGCCGCTGCTTTACCGACAAATAGCCCGCTATCGCGTACTGATGGTCGATTAAACCGCATAATGAGAACGATAAATTCACCGAGCGATAAGAAAACTAACGAGGGAGTAACTGCGAAAACGTGTCACCAGCGCGAACGCATTTACAGGGACTAGATTGATATTTTCCAAACATAACACCGCCTCGAGACAGACTTTTTTCTTCCCACCCTCCTCCTCCCCTCTCTCTCTCTCTCTCTCTTTGTTCAAAGTATAATCCAAGTTCAAAGGAAAAATCGGTTGCGTCAGCGTGACGATGACAGTTGCAGATCTCCGTTTTCTTCGATTTCCAACGAGCGGATTCCTCGGCGGAGTCGTCGACTCTGTGCGAGCCTTGCAGGATATTAAGTCCTTGTTAAACGACACGCGTAAAATATACTGAGTCGTCCGGGCCGCTGGAAGTTGGCGGGAAATATTGCCGGCGTGCCGGATGATGTACTTTCCAATTTGCGAGTGAAACGGCGAGCGTTACGGCGTGTCGGGCTTAAAGGCTCAGCCGGCCGCTCAGTATCAATCTGATTCGGCTTCCAATTACGGATTAGCTGCGTGTAAACTAATCCGCGCGCAGCTATTAAACGACACACGCGCACCCACACTTTTCCACATGACGCTCGCGCTCGCGCGCGGCTTTATACCAAAGGTTACGTCACTCTCGCGATAACCGCTCGTTGTTTTTCGCCGCGTCGTCAAAATGAACTTTGAAATTTCACCGCTCCGCTCCGAATCCTGCACTGAGAGAAAAGTATATGATATTTGGAGCTGTAATGATACAGTAACTAAATTATAGTCCGAAACATCGTATTTATAGTATCGGTAATAATTACGATATAGGCATGGTATAACCAACGATGTAATATTTTTACTTTAAGAATTAGAGGAAGTTAAACTAAAATTATTGTATGGATACAAGTATAAAATGGTAGGTAAAGTAACTCTTTTATATAGTCGATATTAGCAGAATATTTGCTAAATGATGACAGATGTAACTGTATGAATATCAAATCTCACTGTATTTGTGAATGAGAAATTATCATATATGTGGTAAAAGTAACTAAACGCAATTATTTAAAACAATCATTGACTATATATTTGTGTTTATTCCACTGTATTTTGCAGGTTCCACGAACTATAAAAGTATGGTTGACGCCAAAATGAACTATAAAATATAGTGAGATTATAGTTAATTCCACTATATTTTTCTATCATTACGCCCTCTCTCTCTCTCTCTCTCTCTCTCTCTCTCTCTCTCTCTCTCTCTCTCTCTCTCTCTCTCTCTCTAGCGTGCGCACGCCCGCTGTTGCTCCGCGATTATAAAATTAACTCACCTCCGCGCACCTCGAGGAGCTTCCTTTTTCTCCTCGCTCGTCGTTTTATCCTTCTTTCCCCGCCGATAATCGATGCCTCCGCCGGAAGGCACCCGCAGCCGCGATCCAGTCTCTCCTCGTCGGCGTGCCCGATCGGCAGCCACGTCCGCGTCGCTGGGAGCGGCCGAATTCTGCGACAGCGCGAGGTGAGCGGCTGGCCTTTGACCCGGTTTACGCGCGCCGAGCCGATAACGTCGCGTCGCGGCGCGTCGCGCGGATATTGATTTCATTTTCGCGCGCGCACGCGACGGCGGATTTTTGTCCCGTGCGAGAGAGAGAGAGAGAGAGCGAGAGAGAGAGAGGCGCGGCGTGGCTTGTCGCTTCGCCGATCGCGTCGCGCCCGCGCAAAAATATCGACATACCTGCCAAGTGGCCAGGTGCTGCGCGCCGCGGTTCACGTGTGTCCCCGGGCGACTCCGTGACCTGACGAGCGAGTTGGACGCGTGACCTTTAACCTTAGCCTCTGGCGGTATCGCGCGGCGGCGGCGGCGGCGGCGGTGGCACTTTATCCCCATCACGCCGCGTCGCGCTCGCACGTGCCGGCCGACGGCTTGCTTATTGTGCGCTCCGCTCTGCTTCTCCGACTTTGTCGACCGGCCCTTCCGCTTCCCCTTTCGCAACAGCGAAAATTAATCATCGACGCGGGAAATTAGTCATTCGTCTCTCTCTCTCTCTCTCTCCCCGCACGGTGAGAAAACCTCGTCCGGTGCGTTTTCTACGCGTTTAGCGCCGCGCCGCGGCGGCGGCTCAAT